AGGAGAGATGAGGCCTCGGCGATTAGGTTGAGTCTGGGTTCAGGCGAGCAGGCAAAGTTTCATAGTCAGCTAGATACTTGCACGACATGGGATAACCGACTGCACGTATTATGTCTGGTCAAGCCGTAGGGGAGATCCGACTTCTGCTGTACTCGTAGGACGGTACTCACGACTCGTCCCGTACTCTGGGCGTGATCGTCTCTCCCTGTGTGGTGAGTGTAGTATAGTCGAGAAAGTCCCTGTCAGCTTACACTCGACCCCACTTCAAGCCGCACACGCACACGTCCACACGCATACGCACGAAGAACACGACGTTCGGCTTCACCATCGACGGGTCCACCTTCTCCTGTTCACATATCCGACATGGGGGCACGCTGAACGATCGGTAGTCTACGCCGTGCAGCTCGACATCACCATCGGGGTTCGTACGGGGCCGTCTGGAGTGTACATTGGCATCCACAAGTCAGCGATTGCCCTGCCGATTTGGCCCCTAACACTTGGTAAGATTCGGTGTACAGCTGGATCTCCTCTCGTTGATAGCTGGAATGCCTTTATCGCCCGCCCAGCTCACTCACCGGCCAGTCCGCTCAGCCTCTTTAGCCTCCTCGTCCCAAACAGGGTTCATCCTAGCAATCTCTTCCTGATAACTATCCCTCTTCTGCTCGTGCCGATGTTTCAGGCAATGCACTTTAGCGAGCGTGCCGTGGAGTTCTAGGATATTCGATTCTTTGTACGATGGCGAAAGGAGGGAGTAGGCTTTCCGATGCAGGTTGTCTACCTGCGGGTGAATATGGTATGGTGCGTTGTGAACACGAACGAATGATGACCAATCGGTCAGCACCAGCTACCGGATGATGCACGCTTGCAGACTCTTCGGAGCAAGTATCCCCTCCCTCGACATTGACGGGACGGCGATCCAGCCCCCCCACCCTCCCCCCACACCTTCCCCGCACCACTCACGTTCTGCGTTATCAGCTTCGGCGCCAGACCAAGGTGCTGTAGTGCCGCTATATAGATATGCGTAGGATTCGGCTGTGCATCGCGCACAGGGGGGTACTGTGGGTGTATGACCATTATCAGCGGACGTGACACCACGGTTGTGTCTTCGCTGCTAAGTTGTCACTCACACCCAAGAAAGATCGTGCCCAGTCTGTCATAGCGTCGCAACGAGGATCAGTGGACCATACATAACGCGGCCGAAGAACAGTATTGCCTTGAGCTCGGTCATGGAGGGCATGTATACGTACAGCGCCGTCTTTACGATTTCGAGGTCATCCATGTCAGCTCATCGCGCCCACTGATCCCAATTGCGTGTATGAGCCGGCTCACCTGAACATATCCCCTCTATCGCTATCCTCCACCAGCTCATGAAACAAGATCGGTCTGTTGAAGTATCACCTCGATCAATTTAACCCTCGCCCAGCCCTACCGCTCACTCACTTATAATTCGGATTACTATACGTCCCCTTCTCTCCCCTATAAGCTCTGATCCCACTATCCACGCTCACCCCCGCGCCAGTTAGCATCACCGTCTTCCCTTTGCCCTTCTCGAGGAACGAAGCTAGGTGCGCCGCCGCTTGAGGTATCGGTAGCACGGATAGACCGGACGGAGGCACGAGAGGTGCCTTTGGCAAGGTCGGTATCGATATGCGCACCATCGTCGAAGTGCTAATCTCCCGGTGTCGCTAACAAGGCTAATACGGGGATAGATCAGTGCAATGTTGACAGAGCGATGTATCGAGTTAAGTGTATGCAGGAACTTTGTGAAATCTGATCATCGTAATTCGATGATGACGCTCGGCTCGATTCCGGTTCCGATCGACGCGTCGGATCAATTACAATGATGCGTGCCTGGAACTACTTCGAGAAGCTCAAGGGAATAGCTGCTACGAATTTCGTAGCAGCTCCAAAGAAAGATGGCAGAACAACCTTTCGATTACATAGCACATCATCACTGCGTAATTTGGGCTCATGCTTGAATGAATGCTACGAGACAATGATAATGATCGACTGCAATCGCTGACATAACCGCAGAACGGTCCTTATTGGCTTGTTGTCAAGAGCTTGAGATCAACTCGCCCAGAACTTTTCGATAATAACCCTCTCGCAAAAGGAAGGTTACGATCCAGTAGCCAAGGGTCATCTGCGACTACCATATAAACATGTGTTCTCATCCTCTCACCATACTGTCGTTGCTCTCGCCAGGTTTATCACAGCCACTAGAGACAAGGCTGATGATAGAGCACTAACAAATCTGCGAGCCCTGCAGGCTCCGCTGACTACACGTCTTCCAGACATACCGGGATCCTTAGCGGCACCTGCTTGCAATCCCTGTAGACCAAGTCGGACCTCCGACAGGCGACTGAACATGACGACATCTTCACCGAGCTCGCACATTCTTACTGCCCTTTCCCCTCCTGTGATCCTGTGTTTGCAAATGTTCAATTTGAAATGCGAGATCGGCTAGTAAGTAACTGCCAAGCTAGGAATTCTCTGTCGTGACTCTTTGATGTGATCTACACAACGAACGATAGGAAAGTGTTAGCGCGAAGCCTTCAAAGGACAAGGAGGCGGGCTCTCTCGCGCGATGACACTTTCATCCAACTCAACACTCGACGATCATTAGATTTTAGTCTCCGATAGATGCCCGCACGAGGCGGTCACACCAGCATGCTTCTGCTCGGTTCCGTGGCGAGATCACTACTTTGGCAATCTGAGCTAGTTGGGCACCCCAATCTGATAAATCGCGCATGGATACCATCAGAATATATGTTCTAAGCTTATTGTTCCCTGCTACTATGAGCGCCGCCCAGCATCAGCACACGGGGCGTGTTGCCCAGATCTGTCCATCGTACGAGAGCGCCCCCTCCATCTTCTTGTTGAAGCTGACAGCTACCTGTCCGTTACCCCGTGTGCCGATTTGAAAGTATAAATACTGACTCAAGCTGAGCTAGAACGGGTTTTTCAGAGACAACGACTCATTCATCTTTCCAATCACTAAGCAACTTTCAACGAACATTTGCATGCTGCCGACACCTACCACTCACCTCCAAGTTCTCCACCTCACTTAATTGGATTGAATTCCCGAAGTTGTCGTGAGTCATTACACACTCATTCTGTTCCAGTCTTCACTTCATCCTGCATATGGCTTACTTGCTTCTACGTTAGGCTACCATCAATTTGATCACCTCATCGTCCTTACTCAGCACTCACTAGTGCAGCCCTCCCTACAAGTCACATATCCTTCTCTGCTACGATACACGTGCACGGTTAACATGACCGGGACACGTGGCGTTTCTCAAACGCTCCACGTCGACTACTCATGCCTCCCCGATTCCCTCCTGAAGCCGAGACCCCCTTCCACCAAGCCTTCCGAAGTTCACACACCCACCTCCAAGCCCATCATTCGCTCCTCATCTGAGGAATGCAGGTCCGACTCTTCCCAGACATCCATTCCACAGATAGCACGCAACCCGAACGTCCCCCACAGCAGCCTCTCAAATCAATGGTCCTACCACACTCCAACCGTCAATTTTATCGACCTGATCAACGACAATGAGATCAGCGGAGACAAACTGCAAAGTACGTTTCATTCCCCTCTCTTACGGCAAACACAAAGCTCTACAGCCTCGTGCTGCATATCCTACCCATCTTATCTCAGCGATGATCCGCGTCCTTCTGGAAGTCCCGGACGATACTCCTTCGCTCTTCGATGGTGTGTTTACCGTGAAGAGCGACGGTAAAGATACCAGCCCGTGCGAAGTAGAGCTGCGTGAAGGGCAGGAGGGAAGTCCACTTGGCGAAGACGATGCACTTCCTCTTCAACGGATCGGGCTTTCCGATGTCCTCGTCAAGAACGGCCTTGACATCGTCTATCACCGCTTGGATGGGAGAGGGAGTGGGAGCGTTCGGTGACCAATAGCTGTAGGCCGTACCGTGGGGCTCGAAGGGCTCGACGTTCTCGCACGATGAAGTGCTTGTCGCGCCCGGGCAACGCAAGCTTGATGCGGTCGTACCGCTCTTGCTCCCAGGGTTGGAGGTCGATGAATCTGACCTTGGCCTTGATTCGCTTGATATTAGTCAGACTCATCCCTCCGTAGCCGATACCAGCGTGACTGATGTCGGGTCATCGTCCATCGGAGCTTGTCTGGGTGGTCTTCATCGGCCTTCCAAGCATAGAGATCTCGTTCGAGTTCACTGGACGGATGGACGGTATCTTACACCGGCACGCTGGTGTCGATTACAGACGGGTGACTCTGACTAATATCAGGCCTATCAAGGCTAAGGTCCGATTCATCGATCTCCAACCCTGAGAGCAAGAGCGGTACGACCGCATGAAAGCTCATACCCGGGGCGAGACATGCTTCTTTCTTTACCTAAATGCGTACCCATCAGCTGGGCAACTATGTAGCACTTGTGCCAATGTAGTAGATGCTATGCTCGTAATAGGAGCCCAATTTCCCCAAGCTGCTAGCGCGAAACGATTCAATTCTGGTGCCGCACATAACGGGTTACGCAGACGAGCCGAACAAGCTGAATACTTTCCAGTCCGGATTCACGTCGGTCCTCATGATCATCGTCATGCAAATAGACGCCTGGGTCAAAGCATATGCAAACGCTGGTGTCCTTATGAGGGTCTGTGCGGGGTCAAGAACCGGACTCGATCATGTCATACCTCTGCGATAGCACCCTGCGCTGTTCATGGGATGACCCAATCCTCGTTGGCAAGAAGGCGACGTGCCACGCCTTGACACCGGGTCGTACTCTATTCCCCACTTCTACATAATCTACCAGCTCTTTGATAGGGTATCGGGCGACCTCGACCGCCGTAGGTTGTCCAGAAGAAATCGAAACGGCAAGCGGAGATATGTTACTGATGGCTGAAGTCTCCGCCGGGGTATCCGACGCTGGATAGATAGTTCAACGATACCTCAGCGATTAGGCTGCACGGGGCAGGAAAGATTGAGAGAATATATTGTAGTCCAAAACTGGACTCACAAGCCCGTGTTGCCTAATGGTTAAGGCGTTTGCCTTCTAGGTTTACGTAATGTTTCCTGGCGAGCAGAAGATTGTGGGTTCGAGTCCCATCATGGGCTTAGCTTTTTGGGAGCCCCACGGTGGGTTTTCAACATGTGGCACCCGTCGATTTGGACGCTCCCCCATTTAAGCAAGACCGCTAGGTCAAGGCGATGAACGACTGCGCCAACCGGCTTTTTGATGGCTCCTTCTGTCCTCATTTGTCTTATATGCATAAACCACTGGGGTTCATATCGCTTGCTGGTGATGTTCATGGCAATACATGTACATGTGCATGGCTTATCTTACCACGCGAATTTGTGGTGTACGTACAGGACGTTCCATACGTTACTTCGCTATAGAACCGAATAGTATAATAAACATACAACATGCCATAAGGGACTACTCGCGTGAAGTCTGACGATCAACTGGCCTCACCACCAGAGTACAGCTCTCAATTGTTTTGATATCGGACTGATTCATCCTCTCGAATCTTACCGCTATCGTTGTCCGGCAAAGATCGGGTCTTGGCTAACTCCGCAACGTATTCCATGCCATACTCTCGAAGCTCCTTTGGGCATTGGTTGTCGCGTTTAGCAGCGTAATTCCACGCGCTAAGGAATCCCTCCCAGAAGTCTTCCACAGTGGCTCGCTTGACCTTGCCTGCGTTCTGCCTGATCTTGCCTCTGGCCGAGTCCACATAGTAGTCGAGGAATCCGCAGATGATTTCAGGCGCAGGGAAAGGAAGGCCGAGCTGGATCCAAGCCTCAATAGAAGTGACCTTTTGATCGTTGTTAACGGTGATGCCCTCTGGATAGTCATGCTCGATGAATCCGTTGAAAACACTGAACTTGTGATCGTGAGCCTTGATCGTGAGGCTCGAGCGAGGTTTAGGCGGTTGTTCGGGACAATGGTCGGGAAAAGATTGTGCCCACTCCACCATCGTATGTGGGGTGATACCTAAGGCTTCCAATTTCGCGAGTCCGCTCAATCGCTTTGGCATGGCGAGTGGCTCGAGAGCGGGACAATGGATGTGGAGAGGGTTAAGATGGACCTGGATCGGTGAGAAAATTTCGGGTAGTTGAGCGAAGAGGTGTTAACGACACGAAAAGTCCGGTGGGGTATGCGGAGATTGGGAGTGCGGATACTTTCCGTGTTGAGCAAGCGTATGAGTCGACTTGATAAAGAGATTCGAACGAGCAGAGGGTGGCAGAACTCGAAGCCGAACGCAGGGGTGACGAGGGGCTGTATGCAGGTAGAAACAAGCCCCATGCGTTAGAATCACGAACCGCAACGATGGTATGACCAGAGGTTAAAGCGGATGGAGGTGGGCATGGAACATGGTGCGAATTGGTGGCTAGTGAAGGCTTACTACAGTATACTCCGAGGACACCGTCAGTGAAAGCTGGTCTGCCAATGAAGGTGATCGTTTTCTCTGTAGCGTTGAGGGTATATGATTTTGCGAGTGATCGTATGTGAGTGTGAGCAAAAGTCTGCAGGAGGATGAAAGAGAAGTAGAAGTCGATCCGAGCCGGGACTGACTTGATGGGTGATATATAGATGAATTGTGTAGTCGAGCTGACTCGACTACTTTATGATTGATTCTCAATTACTGTACCAGAAACGCGTCACACTTGGCACCATCAATCAACGCACCAGTCCTCGCACTGACCATCCGAGCGCACTTATCACACCTCTGACTTTCATCGTACGATTGATCAGCCCCCTAGACACTTAAGCTGACGAGAGATCTGGTCCATGCCGAAACTGGCATGCTCGCAGTCTTCCAACAGCTCCGAAAATGCATGACATATGCGTGTGTATTGAATGAAACGCCTGCACACGCGGAGGAAGCCTTTCTCTCCGGAATCGAACAATGATTTTTGGTTCGTGTTTCCCGGGGCCGATTTGCCACCTTTCGGTGCCCCCTTGAGCCTCGACGGCAAGCCGAACAATGTGGGGCTTCGGCGCGAATCGAAAATCTTCCTGGTAAATCGACGAGCAAGGTGTCAATGCGAATGCAACATTGTCAACAGGCAGACCGGTAGAAATCTAGTCGGAGGCGTGCAAGGGTTAGTGCACCGGCCGTATCATTACTGGAGCTCGACTGAAGGCTACAGCCAATGCATGATGCATGTACCGCACTGATGATGATTTGCTTGATGCGTTTATCACCTGTCGATTACTTTGACCACCTCGAACAACAATCTTCCACAATTAGATGGGTTTCCCTGATTCAGCATATTCGATGGGCATGTGTCGCGTTGGCGAATAAGCATCAGCTACGAGCTTTGGAGCGATATGAGGAGCTGAGTATATGTCAGATACTTCAGCTGGAATCAATGTATGGCACGGGCTTCGTAGAAACAGAAAGAGGGGCGTCTTGGTTCATTTCAGACGGGATCCACCCTTCGCTACGAGTTTCGTAGGGGTGAATGGAGCTCTATGTCCACTCGTTCCGGTCCAAGGACCCCTGCTACGAAGACCGTGATATTAGGAAGAGTACTGGCCTGGTTACAGGCCAAAATGTTGAAGCCACTCTGCTACGAATTTCGTTGTACCAAGAAAAGGTAGTCCTCAGAGTAAAATCTCTGGAGGCCTGCTACGAATTTCGTAGTAGCAGAGAGAGCGGCGACGCGAGTAGGTTAGTCGCGACTTATTGATACCCCCCGGTTTAGGTCTAGGATATTTCGACGGACTGCCCTGCTACGAATTTCGTAGTAGCAGAAAGAGCGGCGACGAGAGTAGCTATAGCCTGTTTACGTACAGGTCAAGGCGGCAAACGACTTCAAGCGACTTTTTATGGGCGTTCTTGCCTCGCGGTCTACATATCGACAACATCGGTCAACAGCGAACTCTTGATAACACGCCGTCTGCTTCGTCTCATTGTTCAAAGCCGCTATATTATCGACCCATTTCGAGATCTTTCTCACTGTCAACATTGTAGAGGACCTTCCTTGCGATTCCACCACGCGGACAAAATGAGACCGACTCCCCCTACAATGGTACGTCGTTCTCGATACCACTGGACTCCGTTACATGCGGCACCTCGGCACGGAAATCGATACACAGTCCAAACTGTCCGGGCTATGCTTAGAACACCAAGGCTAGGGACCTGGGGAATGGAGAGGATACTGGAGACGTATGGGATTTATCTCGAGCACTACAAAGGCTGACACTGTTACGTTCGGGCTTCAGTCTCCCCTGACGACGATTCCTATGCTCATGCTCACTGGTCTGAAAGTACTGGGAAGAGCGACAGCAGCTGCTGGACAACAAGCTGCGCGGAGTGAGTAGTTGTGTTCGTTTTTCTCATGTAGGGATGCGTAGCTGACAAAGTCCTGATCTCGTCTCATCACGTTCGACAATGCTATCTCCCGCCTATCTTCTGCGCATACTCGTCATATCTGCGAACGCACCTTTCAGATTTCAAGCACAAGCCCGAGGGAAGCCCCGATTCTGCGCCCGTAGGAGCCGGATCATCGAAGAACAAGATCACGAGTCAGCTGCAGATGAGTCTGGATGAGGCGCACTTGATCTTGAATGTGAAGAGGGATGATCCGCTGGATGTCATTCAGAAGGTGAGTCGGTCGTGGGCTGGGCTGTGCTATTTCGGTACGGCTTTGGCCATTTGGAGATGGAACGCACGACTCTGTACGTTCAGTAACGAAAGAAGGATGATGGAGGGACGATCGAAGGTGACAGATGGGAGAAGCTTGGTATTGCAAGCAACGTTGGCTAGGACAGAGGGGATTGAGTGACAGGTGTAGCCGAACGTTGTGCGTGTGCGATTTGAAGGGTGCATCTTCTGGGAGACACGACTGTCGCTGGAGCTTAGGCAGCGCGACCACCGAAGACGGGCGGAAAATGCAGGCAGGGGGTTAGAAGGCAAAAGCATGGTCTTGGCCTTGGGTCAAATTCGCATCAAACAAGAGTCTAGAAGCTGACCCTGACCTCATCCGTCATGTTCTCCTCGACCACCTTCAGAACTACGAGCGTATCTTCGCCGCCAACGGTCCCCCTCCCCCCGCCGCCAAGCCCGAGGCGCACACGACACCCGCATCAGCAGCAGGCAAGAAAGCGAGCAAGGCGCCCACACATTCGCATTACTTGCAATCTAAAGTTTTTAGAGCTTTGGAGAGAATAAAAGCTGAGCGAGGGGAAGAAGCCGAAGGTGGTGGACCCAAGACGGAAGCAGGAAAGGTGGCTAGTGAGGGCGAGCCGAAGACTGTACCGGAGGGAGCGACGGTGACTGCTACCCCTCCTCCGCCTCGCTCGAGCCCGTAGGGCGGTGCATGAACGGGCTTCGGAGTAGGAGGACAGAAAAACGTAGTAATCATTAATACCATACCACGATACGCCCGTGGTGCATCTTTCCTTATATCATCATGCATGGACCACCCCTCTCGGCTATCTCATCGAGCTGGCGCCATCTTAGACCGGTGTTGACATATGGAGGAGAGGACTGAAGGCCAGCCTAAACGAGTATATCTGCGCTTGGGAGGAAGGGCGCGTGATACGCTCGAGCGGCGAGACAGGACGCTTTTTCCCCACCCGCCTGTTCCCGCGTACCGCTGACGACAGGTCTAAGCGATGCAGACTGTCTCAACAATCACCATGTAGAAGAACAGCCGGTGAATCAGTGGAAGAGGGCTCTGAGATCGACCGTGACCATCAACCTATCAGCTTTCACACGGTGTTGATGAGGCGCGTAGGCAGCAACGGAGGACCAAAGACTGTGCGTCATTTCCGAGTGAAACTCATCATTACAACGCGTCTGGCCTTTACCCTCCCAATTCACAACGTTCTACCTCTTCCTCCTCTGTCTTTCTTCCTGTCAACTCATCGCTATCAGCCGTGCTGCAACCTGCTGCAACCTACCTGGCTCAGCGTGCATCTCCAACATGTCCACCAACACGTATCAACCGCAACCGCAATCCCCCTCTTCGCCCAGCCAGAGCACCCATCAGCAGCAGCAGCACACCCAACAAACCGACAGACCCGAGTCCGCGCTATTCGACTTCTCCAAAGCCAGCCCTCACAACGACGATGATGAAGCCGAGTTCCTGGACAACATCGA